AAGAAAGAAAATCCATGGCTTCCAGCTGGATGTAATCCATATGATTGCAAGAAATTTCGTTGAAGAATGTTACCATTTTATATGATTATTGAGCACGCATTCAATATAATATATGGTTAGAAGAGGTGAAAAGGGTTGGTTTTCGAGGAAAGCACATGCATGTTTGACCTATACTTACGATAGTAAAGATGGGCTGCTTATTAAGATTTAAAATATTACGTCTCAAACCCATCAAGTAGCCTTAGTGATAAAAAATTATGTTGTTCTCCCAAGAGGTCTTTAGTTTGAACAACTACTGTTGCACGTTATGTGTTATCAATTAATTAATTCTCATTTTATATTGATCTCCAAACTATTAATAGATACCAATCACATCTCATATTAATAATTTTAAAAAATGTAGCTACAATGTAAATATTTGTTTATAATTATTTTTATGTTTCAAAATTAACTCATTATTTTATTTAAATTCAATATTAATTATGATTTATATCACAATATATTATTACATCGTTTAAATCCAACAATAAAAAAGGGAGCTTAAATACTACTGAACAAAATAAATTATTTCATAAAGAAATAGATTAGTTTCCCCCTAAGTAAATGTGTTCTTTGAATTTCCAAAGAAAAATAATTTATTTTTACTAGAAGCAGATTTGGTTTGGTGCATATCAGGTGTTTGTTGGATTGCTTCATTGAGGGGGTGTAATTAATGAATAAATAGATTAATCCCTGTTTAAATTTGTGCCTTGAAGCTATTAGCTTGGAAAATTGGGGTTTGCTTTTGAATTTATTGCTATGATATGATGTTGGAACAAATGGCTCCATCTGCATTGTCTCGTGATTAAGTCAATGGAATATTTGTTTCATTTTGGTTACTTTAAAGTTAATGCTACGGCATTAAGGGATGGGCTCAGTGAGGTAGGTGAAGGTACTCATCCTTCCTAAAAAATTTAAAATTTTATATTTTTAAATATTTTTTAATTTAAAACATGTTTTCGCCTCTCTAAATTTGCACAAGTTAGTCTCTCCCCTAAAATTTTAAAAATGTATCCCTCTAACATGAAATTTTTAAAATTTTAAAAATGTATCCCTCTAACATGAAATTTTATTCATCTCTGATGATATTTGAATCGACTAAGATAGTAACATCCAGGTTAGTGTAATTTTTTAATACCTTATTGTACTCTACACAAGCAATTTTACGAAGGGTATCAATCGTGTTATTTTCGTAAATTATGGGTCACATTTTTCTCTTTGGTAGAACTTATGTTGGTAGAACTAAAGTTGGTGTTTTCAAATTGAATCTTTCCGAAGTTGCAGTGAGGCGAGTCAATTCGCAAATCTAATTATTTTTTAAGATACCATGAGGCAGAGCGATCAATTTAAAGCCGAAGTAGAGATATGGGCCCTAGTAAAAGGAGTTGCAGCATGATCGGACAAAATCGATCATATTTTGTCGCTGTTTTATTTTCTTTGCCCACTAATGAAAACAGATGGACAATTGTAATATCTTATTTTCGTCTAACGTACTCTTTTTTAAGCTTCAAATTTTTATGAGAAATTGGAACTGATTTTGAAGTCGGAGAGATTAGCTGACTTGCAAGGTATTTTCAAGAAAAGATGTATTCTTCAAACATAAATGACTGTAAGTTATATTTCTAAAGCATTTTGGAATGTCTCAATTGAAAATCGCTAACTCAAAATATGTTTGTTTTAGTAAAGATAGTGTGTGTAGAAAATTAAATATGGATCAAATATTTAAATTTCAATTTAATACGAATTTTCAATTGTTAGCAATTAAATTCAACCTTAGAATTTCCGTTATTTAGTTTAAACAATTTAGGATCATATTCATTATTTTAATATTTATTTTCTTAATTAGCATATCTAACATTAATGTAATGTAACATACAAATGGACACTCTTCTCATGTACATCAAAAAAGGAGGAGGAGATTAGAAAATTGTTCTTTTTTCTTTCTTTCAAGGTTCTCTTGTGGAAGTACTTTCTTTGTTCAAGATTCCTATTTTGTCTTTATTTTTTATTCACACTTTACTCGAGTATTTGGATTAATTGTTATCTTTACTCTTTATTAAATCTTCAAAGGTAAGTAAATGGATCATATTTTAATTTTTTGATTGAACTTGTGAATTTCAGTATTAAGATAACCTATAATCGATCTGATATCGATTTCGGGCGTTGTGAAATATTCATCATTTCCCGTGCGTAATCAACTCTTGAAACCTTCCAAGTGAATTTCTGATAAGATATAAATTGTTTTATCTTTTAAAAAATTTTCTAGAATATCTTTGATAATGGTGATTTTTATGTATATGACCTAACCCAAAAGACCAATAGACCAATGGCAACATCAAAAAGTAAAATTTTCACTTAACTCGAGATACAATCTAAACCTAAAAACTATTTCGAAATTATAACTAGTTTACTTGCATTTATCTTCTTCATGTGGTATAAGAAAATAGTTGTACACTATTAAACTTCATAAAGTTCAACGTTTAAAATTGTCTTACCGTATGCATGTTAGTAGCTAGGTTTTAAGTTTGAGTTAGGACAGTAACATCCCCAAGGAGTTCCAGCACTGTTACAGTGCCTTATTTTTATTAGTGGGCATGTGTATTCCTAAAATCTCTCTCTCTCTTTTATAATTATTTGGTTTGTAACTCTAAATACATTTATTATCGATTCATTTACAATGATTTTTTTTAAATGGAGCTTCACTTTTCTTTTTGTATAATTTACCTGAAGTTCACGTGATTATGTTTTAGATCTTGATTGGAAGTCTTTATGAAAGTTGAATTGACTGAATCAAAAGAAATGATTGATTTTATTGATTGTTTCGGTCATCTAATGGGGTACTTTTGGATTCAGCAATTATCTTGGATTAGGTTTGGGGTGTTCCATATTTTTTTTAAGAATTTATAAGTAGAAAGGTAATCAAAAGAGAGATCAACATGAAATACTTCTTATAAGAGACTAGATTTGATGTGGTTCTACATTGTTTATATCTATGAATGAGAAAAACAATAATTCATTATAGACGTAGAGATAAAAAAAACACAAATATATAATTTTTTTTGTATATCGTAGCTCGATATATATCTCTAAACTTGATGTATAATGAAATACTCTCCCCAAAAATTATCAAGATTACATAAAGATTACATCTCTCCAAAATAATTATCTCATAATTCTAAATGTTAAAGTTTACTCTATATTTATAGAGAAAGAAAACATGTACACCAATAATTTTTACTATGTAAGAATTCGTACCCAAATAAACTTTTAATCACCAAATAATCTTCAACCACTAGAGTTACAATAAAATTCAACTTAATTACCGATTAGAATTTAAATCAATATTAACAATTGCTTCATGTGAAATTAAGAATTCTATTTAAGAGTTTAAATATTTTTCCTGATCGTTTTTTATTCTATTAACCCATTCAAACAATAAAATATGTTACTTTTTCCCCTTAATAAAAATCTTTCATTTCTTTTCTCTTTTCTATTTTACTTCCTTTTTCTTTAATATTTTGAATTTAAATTTTGTTAAACTTTGGCCATCAAAGTACAAAGTTGCACTTGAAACATTAAAAAAAACTCAAGTGGAAGAATAAACATGGTGTGATAGTTGAATCTAATTCAAAGATTGGAATTGGATGGTTAGAAAATTCCAAGTTTCAATAATGGTAAGTTTAGGGTTTGTTTTCTATGATAGATTCTTTGTAGGATAAGTTGGGAAATCTTAAGCCAATTACCATTTTTGTCCTTTTAGAAAAGAGTGAATTGAGTATTGCTTTAACAATACAGGGTATGAATGAGATTGGAGGTGTATTAGACTTGGTGGTAAATGTTGTGTTTGAATTATCATGCTATCTGCTTGATTTGTTTATATTCTGCTTTGATATTACCCAAAAAAAAATTAAAAATCAAAATAAATGTTGAATCGATTGAACTTTCAATTTTAAGGATAGCAAGATTTAATATCACCGTAATTCGATAAAAATAATATAAATTAATATGTAAAATCAGATTTTTTTTCTTTCTAATTTTATCATTAAATAAATTTTGATTTTAACACAATTATGTATGTGTATAATAATAAAGTGAAGCTTCCTCTAAAAAAATCATCGTCCAAGCAAACATCAATCATGGATATATCCCCTTTTTTGTGTCCAAAATAATGTGTATAAGTTCAATGTTCAATAAGTTAGGCTTGGAATTGTTAAGCTAATTCTGTTTATTAATATTTAGTTTCCCTAGAAATAATATTATCTTTAAAATTTGAATTAAATTAGTTTTATAAAAATATAATGTGTCTTATAATTGTACTGGTAAAAAAATTCTACTAATACAAAAAAATAAATAAAATATTTTTTTTACAAATTTTAAATTTAATTTTATTTCTATCTTCAGAGGGAGGGGAATGAGAGATGCTAAGAAAAGGAATATGGGTGCTCATAATAGGTCTAGAACCCATGACCTAAAGAAATATGAGGGAACAAAGATAAATAATTTGACCAAAATATACTTGTTCAATTAACAAAATACTAACTAAAAACAAACAATATTATAACTATAAAATGATACTTAATTTGTACTTTTATTTGCTTCTAAAAATTTTATATCCTTTAATTTCCAAAATAGGTCTGCTTGTTTTGCAACTAAGCCTAACGTTTCATTCCCTACCATTAATAATCCCTTTCAGAAAGTCCCTTTCTCTCTCTAATGCAATTCTCAATACCCTCTTTTCACTCACATTAAAGCATTTAAACAATTTAGAGCAAAAGAAGAAGAAATATATGCTTAATTTATTAATGGGGTATAAGAATCATTCCCAGCTTTAAACTTTTCATTTCATTAACCCTTTAGCTTTGATATAATTCAAAGCTTAGAAGAGGAAGAACAAGGGGGGACTTTTAAAAATGGAAAATTAATTAGCTGGTTTTGTAAATGGTTGTAGTAAAAAAAAGTTAGTTGGTTAGTTTTATAAATAGAAACCTCTCAGCCCTTCATGCTTCCATTTTCTCTGCATCTCTTCTGCTCAGAGAAATTATACCTCAAAACCCAGTTTCCTTTTGTTGCTGTTCTTAATTAATTATCATACTTTTCAACCTCTTTTTTCTTTTCTTTTTTTCTCGTGGTTAGTAAGCTATAAACTGAAATATAATCCCTTTTAGTTGATTTTTCACTGCTTCACTTCTTTTGGGGTTTCAGTCAATCTTTTTCTTTTAGCTCTCCTTGATCATCAAGACATAGAAATCTTCTTTTTCCTTCTTTTTTGCTAAAGAAATATATGATATTTATAGCTTTGCAAAACATTGTGTTCCATGTAAATTAACATTTTTGCTAGTATTGTTTAAGGTATCATTGTGTAGTTTTATCTAAGGGTTTTTTTTGTGTGTGTGTTTTTCTCAGTTAGCAACCATGGTGTACCCCAATGAATTCCAAGAGAACTCGAAGAAAATGGGGAGGGGAAAGATCGAGATCAAGAGGATCGAAAACACTACGAATCGTCAAGTTACCTTCTGCAAAAGGCGCAATGGTTTGCTCAAAAAGGCCTATGAATTATCAGTTCTCTGTGATGCTGAAGTTGCTCTGATTGTCTTCTCCAACCGTGGTCGCCTCTATGAGTATGCTAATAACAGGTATCTCTCAGCTTCAGCTCATCGGCCCTTTCATGTTTCTTTTTAAAGAAACAAAACCCAGTTTCTATTAGTGTTCAATTTAGATCAAACTGGGATTTTTCAGTCTCAAAATTCCAACTTTATTTTGCAAAGTACAAAAAAAAAAAAAAATCTGGTTCAAGATTTTGGCTTTGCAAACAGATCTCTTTGGTGGGGTTTTTAAACATATTTTGGTACATAGCTTAGATTCAAACTAAGATTTACAAGTCTTTGTTTCTTCTATTTCTTCTTTTTGTTTACTTGCATAAAATCAGGTTTTTTTTTAAAGGGCTTTTCTTGAGTTCCCAGTTTGGTTGATACTCAGATCTGGTGCAAGATATAACAATGGAGAACACCATGTTTGTGGTAGTAAACAAACTGAAGCATGAACTTATCAAAAATCCTCCACCAACTCTTTGACAACTTTAATGGCATGTCAGTTAAGTTGAATCAAGAAAGTGGAAACCACTTTTGCCTAAGAACCCCTGACTTGAACATCCCTAAATCACCATTTTTCCAATCAATCAGATCTTATTTAGGGTTCATAGTCCAACACATAACCTAATTAGGGTTCTTATTTTATCTTTGCTATTAACAACAAAAGACTTTGTAATTAGTAAACCCTTAAATCAAGTAGAGTGATATTTCCTTAACCGATCACAACTCTGCAAATATTTACCTCTTTCTTTATTATTTCTTTTTGGCACAGTTGAAATCTATCTAGGGTTTTGATGACCCCATACTAAGATAAGGTTGGTGTTTTGTCTTAGTTCAAGAATCTTTTGGTCACGTCACACACGATTTTTTCAGTTTCTTGACTACTGACAAATGTTTTTATGACATGATTCCAAAACTGTTTTCTCTTTTTTATATACACATGTACGTATATGTATATATATCATTCCAAGTTCAACCCCAAAATTTATAAGATTTAATAAGACAGAGATAAAATAACCAAAACCCTTACTTTCTTCTTCGTCTTAGATCTCTCTTTCTCTCTAGGGTAAAAATCCTTTCACAAAAGCTTCTGTTGAAGCCATGAAAATTTAGCTCAAAACCGCTGAAAGGGTCATCGTTTTTATGACTTCATTGTTGTTTCAGACAGACAACGTACGACAACTGGTAGCCAATGGGAGAGTTCTGAGCGGTCTGGTTTTTCTCTTCCGTGAAAATGTAAACTATGGCTGCTGCTGCAACACTCGCAGTTTCCAGACAAGGACAGAAGTTGATTAAAATCACTATTCTATTTCTTCACTTCACCCCCATTAAAATAATATTAAAACTGTGAAACAAAGTGGTCAATAACTAAAATAGCGTACGACTCAAGAGCATTATCCATGGTGTAATGGGTTTCTGACACCTGGCATTAATATCGACCATAGAAATCTCTGAGCCAATCAAACTGTTAAGACAGTGCCAGCGTGGCTTAGACAGCCAATCACTTGCTCGACGAAATTAAGGTATCAAAGTTAAAGTTATTGTAGGGGAACGGATGCCTGTGTCAGGGTCTTGTCAAGTAAATAAACGTTATGTCTTTCTCCTCCTTGGTTTCGTATTCGATTCAGTTAACTGAGAAAGTTGGTTGATTTGACCATTAAATCTTAATTATTAGCCTAAATAGCTGCCTTTAGGTATAATGATATAATGCTCAAACACTATTTGCTCAGTTATTGATTTATTTGTAATGCAATTAACGTTGTTTTTGCAGTGTTAAAGCAACAATTGACAGGTACAAAAAGGCTTGCGATTCCTCCCATACAGGATCAGTTTCTGAAACTAATACTCAGGTACGTTGGAAATTTAAAATCTTATGTATTAATATACTATTAAAAAACGATAAAAATTGATTATAACATAAAATCTTATTAAAAATATTTTTTTATATTGGATAAAGTAATATTTTAAGTTTAAATCGAAAATATTATCTTCTTATAACTCTTTTGGTTATAGATCATAAATTTCTGATAATATAATTTTTCAGATATAACTGAAAATATTATAAATTTATATAACTTTTTATGTTAAATATGATAACATCCTTAACCCTATCAAGTACGTAGTCAAACTTATTCTTAAACTTAGGTATAGAGAATTATACTATAAGAAGCAACCCTCTTTTTTACAAAAACTTCAGCTTTATTTCTCTCTAAGATTCTTAGTTTGTTTTTCTTTTTTTGGTTTACATGTCCCAATGAAAACAACAATCATAACCATAGTCACATAAAGGAGAAATTGACTGACTTGTTTATTGTCACTGAATATGAGCTGTAATCATCATAAAAATAGTTATAATGTTTATAAAAATTATTAAAAATAGAAATATGGAATGGCAACCGTTGTGGCAGCCATGGCGGCAACAGGAGAGATGTGATTAGGCCGGTAACAATCAGGGATACGATTAATAGAATCTTTAAGTTTTAGAGACTAAATCTATTTTATATAAGGTCATGCCACTAATTTGTTAAAAGTGAAAGAAAACTCAATAACTATTAATCAAAATAGATTGAGAAAAGTCAATGTTAATTATGTAAATACCAAAAAGATTCAGCAAATAAAATTTATCCAATATATTTATATAACAAGGTTGAATTATACCTTTTTATGTATATATAATATATATTATTAAAAAATAAAAAACTAAACTATAAATATATATACATATTTTAAAAAAACAAAAAACCTAAAATGGTATACCAAAATACATGGTACCTATGTATACCACTGTACAAAATTCTATCTTCATATGTGTACACTGGATTCTAGTTATTGATTGGACTTAAACTAATGCAAAGCCGTTTGTAAATGTCAGTTCTACCAGCAAGAATCTGACAAACTACGCAAAGAAATCCAGAATTTGCAGAAAATGACTAGGTATATCTATGAATTAATCTTCTTTCTTCTTCATTCCATCATGCATGATTTTGATTTAGAACTCCCATTTCTTTAACTGCAACAATGTATTTTTCCAGGCATATGATAGGTGAATCGCTGGGAGGATTGTCTACGAAGGAGCTAAGGGGCTTGGAGTCTCGTTTAGAAAAAGGAATCAGCAAAATCCGTTCCAAAAAGGTCTCTCTCTCTTTTATCACATATACATACATGCATATATTCATATGTATCTGATAAATTTTCCCTATCTGGTTTAATTTTCTTCCTGCAAAATTCCAACAGAATGAGCAGCTCTTTGCAGAAATTGAGTATATGCAGAAAAGGGTAAGAGTTTCAACTTAATATATTCAAAATTTTCATGTTATTTGGTTCTGATAAATTTGTCCACTTCAGGAGATTGACTTGCAGAATAATAACCAGTTCCTCCGAGCAAGGGTATCCCTCTTTTTCTTTTCTTCACTTGATGAGCTTTAGTAGGGCCGTAAACAAACCGAATCGAGATCGAGTATTGTTGAGCTCAACTTGACTTGAAAGCTTGCAAGTTTAAAATTATCAAACTTGACTTGAATCGAGTTCGGTTTAAACTCAAACTCTCAACTCAAACCTAAACTTTTAAGTATACGAAAACATTGTATTGCAATTTTTTTTAAAATAGCGTATAAATATTAATATTAATTATTTAATTTAAAAATTAAAATTTTAATATATATATATATATATATATTTGAGTTACTCGTGAGCTTTTCGAGTCAAGTATCAAGTAATTCATTTTGGCTCGCTAAGAACTCGATTCATGTCCATTTGATTCGAATATTAACCAAGCTTTGATCGAATCGAACTCAAATAACTCGCGATCTATCTCGTCTCATTTACGGCCGTTAACTTTAGAGTTTCAGTCTTGTGAGGAGCTCATAACTTAATGTCATACAGATAGCTGAGAATGAGAGGAAGATGCAGAACATGGAGTTGATGCCTGGAGGATCTAACTTTGAGGCCATGACTTCTCAGCCATTGGACTCTCGAAGCTACTTTCAAGTCAATGGCTTACAACCCACTAATCATTACCAACACCAGGACCAGATGTCCCTTCAATTAGTGTAAGAATTATTACCATCAACATATTTTTTTAAGGTTTCATCAATAGCTTTAGCAAGTTGGTTTGCAGGTAATATTGTGGTGGGGGACTAAAGTGGACACTTTTAAGGTTTCATCAGCTGTTTCTGAGTATTTTGTGAGATGAAGGTAGCAGTAAGTACCCAGAAAATGCTATAAGGCAGGACCCTAGAATTCTTCTGCCATGAATTTAGCTATGTCAAGTGTGTGTAATGTGCAAGACTGATAAAAAAAGTTTGCTTCTCAGACAAGAAGTCCTTTTCCATACATGTTTAGAACATGGACTATAATTCTACAAAGATTATCCGTCATGAGCCTTGTTATATCTCACTCTCTGGTTAGGGACCAACACCAAAATTTCTGTCATACGTACTAATTTAGGAAATCATATTAAAAGATAAAAGGATATAAAATTTCAATGATACAAAATTAAATCATAGATAAAAAATACAAAGAAAAATTTTTAACTAATGAAAATTTTAAAATTTTCAAGAGTGCATACTATCATACTCCAACATCCCTCTAATAATACATCATTGATATTAGGGCTGAGCAAAACTAACTCAATTTTTTTTTTAAATTTTGAATTATTCGAGTCAACTCAAATTATTAATTCGGTTTTTGAATTTGAGTCGAGTTTAAATTTTAAAATTTTGAGTAACTCGAAAAATCGAAAATTTATACGTGTATTTTGATATATTTGTGATTTGGTCATGATTTCATATTCCTTAACTCCTCCTTCATTTTAATTCAATTCTTTGTCAAATTTGAACCACATGCTCTTAATTCCACTTTTTGATATCAAATTTTCTATTTTTTCAATCTAGCCCCTCATTTTTGCATGATTTTCGTATTTCTTCAATTCATCATTCATTTTAAGTATGTTTTTTACCAAATTTAAACCACATGCTCCCCTCATTGTAGAATACCTATGTAAATTGTAACTTCAGTTCTTTTTTTATACTAAAAATGTACTCTTTTTTAATTCAATCCTTTAACTTTGTATTTTACTCAACTTAATCTTTTGGCTACAATTGTTTACAATTTCTTTCTTCACATCAATTTTTTTATTCTTTTATACTCTCATCAATCTTTTATCCTCAAAATACTTCCTTTGAAATATAATATTATAAATATATTTTATAATTTTAGATTGTATGTGATATATTAAATTACATTATAATGTGAAAATAATATGAAGAAATATATATATATATATATCTTATATGGTTAGAGAAAGTAAAAAAATTGAAACAAATTTTTACTATAACACTATAAATAATTATAAAAAATTAGTATATAAATTCGAACAACTCAACTCGACAAATTTCTTAAACTCGACTCGGAAATTTTTCAAGTTAAGTTCGAGTGATAAAATATGGTATGTCAACTTGAATAATTCAAATTCTTTGACTCGACTCGACTCAATCGAATGCTTACTCTTATTTAGTATACCAGTTACAAGAATTCAAGATTCGACATTATCTTTATGTGATTAACTTTTCAGGTGTATTCTTTGTTCTTTATATCTATCTTAGACACAAATTATGAATTTTTGAAACGTTGAGATTATGAATGGAAAAGTTTTAAGAAGGCTGCAGCAATAAGAATATTTGGAGTAAAAAAGTTGCAACCGTGAAAGGCTTAACATTGATTCAACATGAAGTAAACGGGCCTGCCTTTAGTTGGGATTGATTATTCGTGTTATTCGAAATATATATTTTTTTAATTCAAGATATAATATGGATAAAATGATTCCAATTAAACAGAATACGTTATGTGACTATGACATGCATTTAATAGACTGAATTTATGAACTCAAATAAACTCATATGTTTAATTAATTAAACTGATATGAATTTAATTCTTTACTAAGTTAAATTTTTAACATGCGTTATAGTTGGATGAAGCATCTGTAGAATAATAAAAAGCAATAGATGGTGTGATGTACAGGAAGACGCTGGGTGATGATATTTGTACATGCATGCAGCAGGAACTTAACTAATTAACAACACAAAAGGCTGCTGCTGCTTTTTTTAATCCCACAATTATACATCCGTACACCTTTTACTCTCTATCCTGAATCTGCATCACCGTCTCAAACCATGAATCTCACTGGGCCTTTTTGTGGAGTTATTGTTATTCTCTTTGCCATGCTGGGCATAAATTCCACGTCTGCAACACAAAACTACAATGTTTTAAACTTTGGGGCTAAGCCAAATGGGAAAACAGACTCCACCAAGGCTTTCCTCATGGCACGGCAAGCAGCCTGTGGCTCGGCAGACTCTACCCTGATATATGTACCCAAAGGGCGGTATTTGCTCGATTCTATGACTTTCCGAGGTATCTGCAAAAGCCCTCGAATCACTTTCAGAATTGATGGCACCCTGGTCGCCCCTCTAGATTATCGAGTACTTGGCAAAAGTACCGATTGGATCAGTTTCCAAGGAGTCAATGGCGTTTCCATCGTTGGTGGTGCACTTGATGCCAAAGGATCATCTCTCTGGGCCTGCAAACATTCCCACACCAACTGTCCTTCCGGAGCCACGGTACTATTTTTGAATTCGTACATCATTCTAAAGTAGTAGACCTTTATTCATTCTCATTCAACTGATTTTCATTAGTGTGAGAGAGCAGGCATTAAGCTTTACTAACTCCAAAAACATCACCATTCGTAGATTATTATCCTTAAATAGCCAAATGTTCCACATCGTAGTCAATCGATGTGAAAAGCGCACGTCCAAGGAGTTAAGATTATGGCCTCTGGTAATAGCCCCAACACAGATGGCATCCATGTGCAGTTATCCAAAAATGTCAACATCATAAAATGCTCCATTAAAACATGATTGCATCTCCATTGGCCCCGGTACCAAGAATTTATGGATCCAAGTCATTTGCGGTCCTGGTCATGGCATTAGGTACTTCTAATATAGTATCGTTTCATTTGATATTTTTTAACAATAAAAATGAAGCATTTTATCCCCAAGTTCTCATACTAACTTCTCAAACAATATACACATTTTTTTAATTGATTTGTTTGCACTAGGCAGCAATGGCAGCTTAGCCAAAGATTTGAAAGAGGAAGGGGTCCAAAATGTTACAGTGAAAAAGACCATTTTTGTGGGCACTCAAAACGGTCTGAGGATCAAGTCATGGGCTAGGCCTAGTACAGGATTCGTTCAAAGGGTTCGGTTTATGGATTCTTTGATGGTACATGTACAAAATCCCATCGTAATTGATCAGAACTATTGCCCTCACAATCTAAATTGTCCTCACGACCAGAGACAATTAGAAATCCAAGTCGATCACTAATACTTCGTTTAACTCCCTCATTCGTGTTTGGAGAAAAGAACAACTTCGTCTTTTGTTTATTAACAATGTGACCAGAGGAAAGACCAAACTCGGTCAAAATTTTCTCAATGTTGTTTGCTTGATTCAAATTTGCTTTCGCGTAGAGGATCAAATTCTAACAATCAGGATTTAGAGGACGACCAAGAAAAGCTAGTTGATCAGTGCTACGTTTAATCTGTTCTATGTAATCGAGATTGAACGAGTACCTTGATAATACTGTGGAAATGATCTATGTAGAGAATCAATTACATAATATTATGCAAATGATTCTCTATCAAGTTAAATATGTCAGGAAGTGAAAACTATATCAGAAACATTATTATTGAATGCAACATAAGTAGTAGGTTTATTTGTATTAAGTAAAGGCCTTGATGAAGTTCACCATTCCCAAGCACTTGCCTAAGTTCCTGAATAAAACATTGCGACTTGACATTGAAATTAGAATTATTAATTAAGAAACTATCTGATAATAAATTTGTCACACCCTAATATGGGGTTAGATTTCTTTCAATTTAAATATGTGAAATAATATGAAGTTGGTTTTCAATTAATTATTTTATCATATCATTATTTATTAAACAAATTGAGAATGATATATAGGTAGAAGTGGACAAATTGTTGGGTTGGCATTCCATGATTGAAAAAAAAATATTATACAAAATCAAACATGAAGACAAAAGTATGTGGAGTCTGACAAAGAAAGCAACCAAATGAAGTGAAGACTTTATATCATATACGTGTAGCTTATTGTGTTAATTATCTAAGGGTAAAAAGGGGCACGTAGAAGAGGAAAAATGATAAAGAAACCAAACCAATAATAATGGAATAGATGAATCCAAGCAAAACTATGAGTGATGTGAATTTGTTTATTATTATTATTTTTATAATATGGAAAAATGGAGACCACAAGTGAGGGAAATCAATCAACCACTCCTTGCCTATTCGATATCTTCTTTCTGTACAAATAAAAAAATGGCTTCAACCGAGAACGTTAGTTTGCAGGCATCAAATACCTCTCGGCTACAAGATTTGGTGCCAAGTTGCTTGGTGTATTTGGAAATGGATGGTACAATCTTTTATACATGCACGTGTATTAACTCCATCAAACATGAGAAAGCTAAAGTTGGCTTCTTAATCGTTAAGCAACTTCGAAGGTTTCATCGAGTGGAAATTCCAGGTTCTAAAGAATCTCAACTATGAGTTGACCTCTTTAAGTTCTTTGAGAAAGGAATATAGGTTCTTGGATGGGATGAGCAACATGTACGTTTAATTTTGATGGAGAAGATGATGAATTTTTGCAGAACATGAGTTCTCCGAGACTGAGCAATTCATTTGAAAAGAAAGCCGATGCCAACTGGGAAAGAAGAAATATGTTAATCCTATATCATGAAACATGCATCAGAAAAGGAAGCTATGGAGGGTTTCTAGCCAACGTCAATCTGTCGTAGCTAAGTCTACCGCCCTTGGAGCTTCCTCAATTCAGAATCGATCAAAGGGTCCAAACGATGCATCAATCACCAGAAGAATAAAAGAAACAAAAATAGAAATTGTGAAGGTTGCGTGAAATGGAGAAGTGGTTTCATAATTACATTTGAAAATCACGTGTGTGTAGGGTGTTGAGATAGTAAGATGGACAAATCATAGTTTCAACCCTCTATATTTGGTAATGTTCTAACTTGTCCATCAGTTTTAATAAAATTTCAACCAAGTTATGATAGTTTAAATTAATTCAATCTAGTACCTGATTTTAGTTGTTATATATTTTAACGACTATGAAAGTTTTAGTTTTATCATTGGTTTCCCGAACTATTAATTAGTTTCAATTAATCATTTTTTTTTATGAGGGGAATTATTGGATTCAAGTTCGCGTATTTGATGGTCTGGGTTCGTGAGAGAAAAATGAGGGGAATTATATTGGATTCAAGTTCGCGTATTTGATGGTCTGGGTTCGTGAGAGAAAAATTGGAATCTCGACCTTG